TGGCCTCAGGTTGGCGGCTACTCGGGTGAGGAGGAGATGGCGGCCTCGGGTTGGTGGCGGGCCGCGTTCACCCCCTCTGGTCTCCTAGTGGCCCTTGCACGGCGACCCCGGAACCCGGGTCCCACCTGATGCGAGGAGACCTGGCCCTAACGACCTGGCAAGGCAGCTCATCTCTGTAATGAGGTCAAGAGGGACTGAGGGGACAGACTTTCCACTTTGCTTTTTCTCTTTTGCTGTTTAAGAAGTGAATGCCGTGAGTGGAGAAATAAAATGAGGACCGAACCCTGCCCTCCCCAGTGAGTGCATCTGGGTCGACGCTGGCCTGAAGTAGTGGCCTGGAGCGGTTCTTGAGAGAGTCCTGCTGCAGACAGGAGAGGCCAGCTGCCATCCAGCTGGAAGAAGATTCGCTGGGTAGACTCGGCTGATCTGCATTTCTTCACCAGATTTAAGGGTATCTGTTTTATGACATGCTGCCTGGCCTTGGAGGGCTATTTGTGTCAGCCTTTCTGTCTGTAGGTGTGTGTCCTGCAGAATTTGGGAACAACAGTAAAATAGTTTTTGAAGGTCAAAAACTGTTCTTGAGAATTCCGTAACCGAGAAATAATGTATCTACTGAAGAATTCAGCCAAGAAAACGCTGGGATACAATTAGGCAGGTTACATGTCTAAAGGAGGGAGAATTTTGCCCAGGTGCAGAAACTGGTTCTGGTAATGGAAATAGTTGAATTTCTCTTTGGAAGCCTTATGTGTCCATTACTTATTTAAATCACAATTAACCACTTTTTAAACAAATACATTCCTGAAGAATATTTTAATTCCATGATTTTTATTTTCTGCAAGGAGAAACATCATGGACAAATGAATAGCAATTGCCTTGGACAGTTACATTTTTCGTTGTGAATGGTACATTGATATTTTGGTTTTTGTGTTCTGGCTTCTAATGAACGTGACACATCTCAGTCCTGTAGCATCAGCCCCTTTGCTCCTGGGACACAAGCCAGACCCGATGGAGAGGAAACACTCGAGGCCTCTTGATAGGCAAGCTTTCTGACACCCCGACTCTGCAACACTGTCCATGCATTTTCTGTGGAAAGAAATCTGCATATAGACTAAGAATCAAAACACTGAAGAATCAAGGGCCTTTGTGACAATTTCATTTCAATTTGAAGTAAAATGGTTCTATTGGAATATAGAAAAGGACAGAGCAAAGGTGGCTACATTCACCTTTGGGGAAAGAACTTGGGGTGAAGGGGTGTGCGTGCACGTTGTTTAAGGAAAGCAAATTCCTGTTTTGCTACTCAAGAAAAGGAAATCTTAAGCTTGTCTGACTCTGAAGGATGATAATAATGGACCTTAAAATGGTTTCTCAACAGCTAATAAGGACATTACAGAAGAGAGAGCCTAGGGAGAAAACCTGGAGAATGCCTCTTTTTTTTTTTT